TATGAGGCACATATAATATGATTTTTAAAGGGATGTGTCTATGTATTTGTATGGTCATGTGACCTACTAATGATCAAGTGCAACTTTCATGGCCATGGCCTCTACTACAAGCACTACTAACATCTCAAGAGATTTGCTGGTGGTGTACTCCTAACCTGTAACTACCAAACCTTCTGAGAGTGTGTTTCCCTGTAACATGTCCACTAGATTTGAAAGGGCTCTCAATAGGATGACAGGTTTTGGAGTATGACTAAGGTTACTATGTAGGTTTGGCCTTGGATGCCTTTTGAGATATTTCTGTTTTTAGGGACTTGACAAGAATACTGATAGGGAGGCAGGGTCAGACATTACGGGTCCTACCAAGTCAGTTTCCACTCAGTCACATCCAAGATTTATTCAGACACAAAGGAGAGAGTTGGAAGACTACACCAGGGCAGTGGTAACTCAGTGGTTAAGATGTTGGACTGCTGATTGGATGGTCAGGAGTTCAAATCCCAGTTCTACCACTGCTCGGCCCTTGAGCAAGGCCCTTAACCCTCAACTGCTGAGTTGTATAAATGAGATAAATGTAAGTTGCTCTGGACAATAGCATCTGCCAAATGCCCTAAATGTAAATACGACACACAGTGAGAAACAAAGTTCTAAGTTTTCAAGAAATGTGTCCTAAAGAATAACCTTGGCTTTATTATAGTCCATTTTAAATAGGGTTTGGGGTTTCTACTTTGTGAAAACATGTAGTAATGAACAATCACTATTTATAGAAAAGGCTGACCCAGCATTTATTTCAGCCGATTTTAGAAACCGGAGAAAAGAACTTGAAAAATGTCACACATGCTGTTCATTGTCACTCAGTAACAGTTACCATTAACATGTAACCTGTAGATCTGCAGCTGTCTAAGGTGGCAATGGTGTGTTATTAGGACTCATAATAGATATGATATTGGACATGATATTGTTCTTATTAAAACAACCATTTCTGTTCTGTTTTCTTGCTGAGAATTTCCAACTCTCTCCTTCACCCATGCCTACTGGTGTAGGTGGAGCTCTCCTATTCCATGGCTGGGACCAGCCCACATACACAGGGGAAGTGGAATTATTTAAAAATAATAATAATGTTCACTAAAAGGCAAAGG